TCTGGGGACATTTGCTGGGCAATGGGCATCATCATCCCATGTGTATGAGTGAGACCTCAGCGTCTCACTGGTGATCCCCTATTCTAAACCCCACTGTCAGCCATTTGCTCGCTATGAATTTAATCTCCTATTTCAGAGGTAGAACAAAAGACAGGCCAAGCCAAAGAGTGGATTTCATTCTTCTGTTCACAGTGATTGGCTCAAGCATAGAGAAGATAACTAAGAAGGAATGCCACGAAAACTCAACTTAAGAATTTTCTGTTGACACATCAGGGATTATAGACTGTATCTTCTGTGAAATTAGTGTGATAAGGTGACTCTCAACTTTGGAAGAACAGCTTATTTAAGGCTTGGAAACAGAGCAACCAGGAGAAAACGAATTGAAAAACTGATTTTGGGGATGGTGTTTGGGATACTGAATCTCTCAAAGTTTTCATTTATACAAAGTAATGAAATTTCTCTTTCTTTAGACTAGTTTGCATTGGGTTTTCCCTGCTACTGGTTAGAGAATGAGGATAACAACTCCCAAGGTCCCTTCCAACTCCAAGTGAAGAAATGACTAATGATGTGTGGTACTAACAATTAGGGGTGAGACTCAGAGTTTAATTAAGTGGGTATGTGATGGGAGTTCTGCTTGGTAAGTCCTAACCATAGCAGCGAGCCTTTGATGATGGTGGTGATTTTAAGACAGAGACCCAAGAACAGCTGTTACTGAGAGAAGAGCTACCCAGCTCCTGCTGGGAGGCATTTAAAGATTAAAGAGCTTTAGCTGCCATGCTGCCCTAACATCAGGGCAGACAAGAGGTTCTTTAAAGTTTCATTAATCCCTGCTGGCAATAGGCATTTCCTAAGTTCTGCTAGAAGAAAATTCTTACAGTAGTCATATTGAGGAAAGGGACACACAAAAGAAAAATGGAAATCAGATCGAGAAAGGAAGTGATCATTTTTCAGAGGTTCAGTGATTTATTATTATTATGATTAGTATTATATTAGTGACCACCGTCACGTAGTATGGTTAAGCAGAAAGTAAAAACTGATCTGTCTTTTCAGGTACAGCTAATAGTGAAGAGTAGCTGTACTTATAAAGACAGTTGATGCAATGATACCAATGGAGCTCTGGGTCGTGAATATTAACCAGGGATTATTATTAACCTCAAGTGCTGCTTTGTACACAAAAGAACTGACCATCTGAGAAGGATGTGATAGAGAGAGTTTAAGTGTGATTCACAGCAGGTCCCTGCCTAATGGAACTTAGAATTTTGTGAACTTGAGAACTAGAATGGGAACGAGTACCAGGAAAATTACCCTAGTATTTCCCTCTTCTATCCAGAGGGTAGCAATGTGGATGTGATTTCTACCTCGTCGTTAATTTCTATTGTCTCATCTGTACATCATAAATTATAGAGAAAGATATCTTTTTCTTTGCATAGTCCTTGGAATTTTTAATGGGGAGGAAAAACTATGTACTTTATTTAGTTTACATCATGTGGCCTGTAAGTGGTAACTTGGTTCATGAACACTTTCGTTTTTGAACAATTTGTTTTCTAAACAAAAGCACTTGGCAGAATTTTGTTTTTGTCTGCAAACTCCACATTGGCTGACAAACAGGACCACAGCCACCTTCCCTACTCAAACACAAACATGGCCATCTTTTCCAAAATGGTGAAGCCAACCAAATCCAGGAGGTGAGGCGCCACTCTATATGCAGGACGATTATGCAGGAGGATGATTCAAAGAACAGAGGCAAATGCAATCTTTTCTTTGAACAAATGTTTTCCTCTTTTTTTTAATGATCACAAAGTAATATACTGCTAATTCTCTTCAGAAATAATGAAGCAGAGAGTTGGAAACAGATCTGAAGTCTAGAAAAGACTTTTAAAACCTCTTGTAAAGGCAGCTGGAAGCCAACACCAGAAGAGGTGAGAGGAGGCACAGAAGGAACATTTACATGTAAGAGATAAAGATGAAGGAGAAAGAAGAAAGAGTCAATGAGCAAAATCGGCGGTTTTCTCTGAAGTCTTGCGCCTTCATCAGCAATGGGTGGTTGACGCAGGGAAACGTATCAGGGCTTTGGTAATAAAACCAGAATCTATGTCCACAAAGTACTGAAAGCTACATGCCAGGAAAAATGCGGCTGTGCAGGTAGGACTGCCATGCGGGCCACAGAAAATGTGCCTCTGTGGCTCCTGTTTCTTACTTCGGTGTCACCTCCTACCCCAAGCTAGAATTTACTGATCGCTTTTTTCTAGTGAACCATTTCAGCCTCCGCAGTTTAGCTAGAATAAGCACCACATTCAAACCGAAATTTGGACTTTGTCCAGTTTAGCTTTAACCAGCTGAAACACTATCAATGGGAGAAAATGATGCTGTAATTTTCTTTTCTGGTAAAATGTGGGCAGAAAATGTAGCAATATTATTAAAATGAAGAACAAGCTACAATGAATAGTAATAGTTTCCTTTTTAAAGCACTTGTTAAAATACCATTAGATGCTCAATAACAACTACAATGATGTAAAAGCGATGTATAAGTGGAATGCTGAGTTCGATTGTTTGCTTTGAACTCCAAAGTGATGTCTTTCTCAGATTCCACTTGCAAGTCTGGCACCTAGAAAGGACACTTAAAGCTGTAACAAAGCTACCAGTCTATTTTGAAACACTGATTGAATTCCATGTTCAGTTGCACAAAGAAAACTATATATATGTACATGTATGTAACAGTTAGCTTAATCAACATCTCTCAAAACAGAGGAAACACAACTGAACTATACATGTAGAGTCTCAAATTTCTGCATGAAGCCCTGTACTTGCATGAAAGAAGAGTCATTAGACTTAACAGTATTTTAAATTTTAACTTTACACGCAAACCTGTACGAAAAGAAATGAATAAATAGATATTCATTTCTCAGGAGAATTAAAATAAGCTGCTAAATTTTGGAGCAAATGAAAAATTCAATCACCTTAATGTGCTTACAATCCTCAAGGCAGTTAACTATGCCAACCGTGGAGTTATTTACAAAGGACCCGAAGCCTGGCTTTTCTACTTACTAATGGGATATTGGGCAAAATGATTTGTTTTTCATCTGTAAAATGTGACTGATGATGGTTACAAGACTGCCTGTGAGGTAATTTATATAAACATTTAGAACACTGGTAAACTCACAGTAAATACTCAATAAACTGTATGAAAATTCACTAAGAAGGTTGTGGAAGACAGAAGGAAAGATTATAAAGAGAAACCCAGAGGAAGAATGAGACTCTAGACATTCATCCTAATAGTGCTTTTAAGTCTTAAGAGCGCACAAGAAGGGCAAATTTGAGCAATCAAATTAATCTACATGAAAATGCGAAGGCCAAGGTACCATTTGTACACCAAACTGCTGCAACCAGAAGGCTGCTACCAATATCATGTAATGACCTGAGAGAAAGGAAGAGAGCAATGGCCTTAGACATTCTGCATCCAGAACAGGACGAGAGCAAAGGGCTTTACCATAGGTCCCCCAGTAACCTTTCTTAGTTGATTATTTATTATGGTCACTCTCTTTGAAGTCTTGAAATGTTTCAACAGGTACTGAATGGACTAGTTTTAACATTTTTCCTATTAAGAAGAGAAGGTAATTTCAAGCAAAAGAGAGCAAAATGGTAAGCAGGCAGAGTTGCAGATTGTCAGGGCTTTCTTGCAGTAGGTGAGAATACTTCATTTTAAAGCACATCATGTCTTCTTTTCTGTTCATCATCACATACACCAGCCATCACAAACTTTTTAGAGACTAAGTGCCTAATCATAACCCAAGACTTCCTTATTTATCTCAAAGGGCCAACATGGCAATTAAATCTGAAATACTGAGTTTAAAAAAACAGCTCTATATTAACTTCTTTAGAAAAATAACTCTATTTTAACGTCTTTTGTCTTAGAGAAAAGCACAATAATACATATCATAGGTTTGCCATCAACGACATACAGCTATTAAGAGAACAAGTGTTTTTCTCATAAAAACCACTTTTATGAGAGCTGGGTGTGGTGATGCACACCTGTAATCCCCACATTTGGGAGGCAGAGGCTGGAGGATCATTGCAAGTTTGAGACCAGCCTGAGTTACAAAGTGAGCCCAAGGCCAGCCTGAACTGCATGGTGAGACCTGGCCTCAAAAGGACAAAAAAGACAAAAAAGACAAAAAAAAAAAAAAAAAAAAAAAAAAAAAAAATCGGAAATATTCCAGGTGATGAGGAAATGTAAGACATACATGTAAAAATGATTCTTTGAGGACAGCACAGAGAAAGAGTGAAATAAATGATCAAAGATATCGTGGTGTAGATCTGAGATGTCTCCCAAAGATCCAGTGTTGGGACCTTAGTGGCCAGCTGAGAAGCTGTTGGGAAGCTGATCTGATCCTGGGGGCTCTAATTTCATCGGGGGAGTAATCCATTGCTGGGAGGTGGAGCCTACTTAGATGGAGGTCAGGAGGGAGGCACAGGTAAGGGTATATTTTGTCCCTGGCCCCTTCTTGGTGCCCTCTCTCTCTCCCTCTTCCCTCCCTGGCTGTCTCCCCTCCCTCTCTCTCCCTCCTGAATGCTTGGCTCACCACAGCCTCCCCACCAGGGTTCCTGCCTCTCTAAGGCTCAGAAACTTGGAGTCAAGTGACATGGGCTGAACTCTCTGAAGCCATGAGCAAAAATAAATTCTTTCTCTTTTAAGTTGTTTTCTCCAGGTAGCTTCTCATACAGCAGAAAAGTTAACACTGACATATTACTACAGAATTAGAGAATCATCACTGAGCATATTATTAATGGATAATCCTGGAAATAGTTATCAATGGCTATGACGTCACATAAAGAAAGTCACCACCAGTTTTTATATAGTGGCAAAATACAAAATCAAAAGCAAAGTAAAACAAAACAGTCACAAAAGCAACTTAATAGTTCTCTCACTAATATTATTAATTTAGTGAAAACTGATAGACAATTTTACCATTTTTATTTAGGATTTTAAAAAAGTTACTTACTCTCCATCCCAGACATGATCACCTCTGTGGAAAATCACCAGGTTGTTATTGGGGTCCAGAGCAACCCCAGAAACTTGACCTGGTAACAAGTATATACCAGGCCAGTCTAGTGCCTCTTCTACATGGAAATCTAAAAGAAAAATCCATACATTTAGTGTAAAAACAAAAGCTAAGGCAAACACATATTCACAGTGAATATAAGACACTCATGCAGTAAGTCATGGGATGCAAAGACATTTTTTTAAAAAAATCAAGCCGTGCTCTCCATAAAATATACAACATGCACATGCCAAGAAGCTTTTTAAAATATGGAGTGAGTTACTGTGAACTTGTCTTGAGACAATCTGCTCATTGATTGTTGATAAGATGCCTATAAAGCCAGCAATTACTTAAGTTATCAAAGAGCCAATATGAAACTGTCACCTTCTGGAGAAGATTTTTTTTTTCTTTTTCTTTTTTTTGAACTGGTCATCAAACTAAGGACCTTGCACTTGCAAGGCAGGGGCTGCTGAACTAAATCCTCAGCCCTTGAGAAAATTCTTACTTTCTTGTAACTTACTTATTTTCTTACTGCCATATAACTTAATTCTTATAAGTTTGGAAAATATAGCAACATAAGTGGCATCACTGGAATATAAACCAAATGCAATAAATAGCGAGAACGAACAAGCAGCCCATCTCTCCATGTGTCTCTCTCAACCATCCTTTATGCCTCCTGCTCTGTCTGTAGTAAATTCCCAGTGCTCTTCAACAGACAACAGTTCTCATGATGAACTATTTCCTGATTATCCCCTGTGCAGGGAACTATGCATGACACCAATTTCATTTCACCTAGCTCCAGGGTTTCTGCAAAAATCGATGCTTTCTTTCTTTGTCTATCCTTTGCTGTTTCCTAACATGTGAAAAAGAAAACTCGACAAAGGCCTTGATTGAGTAAGTTTCAAGTTATTCTAATTTCTGATCAGCATGTCTTTGTCCTCACAGCACATCTGAGTTCCTTTCTATTATTCACTTTGATAAACACGCTCACACATAAACAGGTGCAGTGTAAGGAATACCAATAGTGATTGAGGATATATAATTTCGAGGATAACTATGAAAGCTACCATAACAGCGTCAATATTTCTTTCCCTCTTAAATGCTTCAGTGGAAGTGCTGAGTATAAGGCAGCAACCCAAGCCTGTATTTTGTTCCACCCTTTGAAGGATGCAGCAACATGCAGTGAAATCCTCGCAGACAAGCATTAAAGACTGTGCCCCAGAGGGTAGCACAGGGCTTGTATGAGTTGTTCCTGGTAATTTAGGAGGACACCCATGCGGGAATAAGTACTTTAAAATAATTCTATCAGTTATACAGAAGGGGAAAGTACCTTTTTATTCCAAACATTTTTACTTATGTACATTTAATCTTTTTCTATAATATAAACCAGCAAAACAGCATAACCAATGGGAATCCTAGACTAGTTCTACCAACAACCTTTGCTGAAGCATCTTTCACAAATAAATTCCTTAGGTGTCTTTTCTATAATGCACTATACTAGAATTTGGGAAGATGTAGAAATAAAAAGTGGCTTTTGGCCTTGATGAATAAGAAGGTTGAATAGTATAATAGACATAATTAAAAAGGAATGGGAGCCGGGTGTGGTGGCCCATGCCTATAATCCCAGCACCCTAAGCGGCTGAGGCAAGAGGATTGCAAGTTTACAAGCCTGGCAACTTAGTGACTTAGCAAGATTTTGTTGCAATAAAAAATAAAAACAACAAGCGCTAGGGATGCAGCTCAGGGTGAAGGTTCTGGGTGTAGCTTTAGTACGAAAAAAGTAAGGATAGAATATAACAAGAAAAAAATCACAACTAAATATTTATGGCACAAAACACTGCAGACACGCAGAAAGGGCCCCATCATCCTTACCAAGGTTTTGAGTTGGGATAGTGTGGGGTGTTAGTTTGCTTAGGTCTCCAAGAAGAGCCAACAGATGTGCCTGTACTTAAAGGTAAAGAGAGGAGGGACCCACTAAGTGTAGAAATAAACAGAGAATCTTCTATTCAGAAAGAATAAAGAGAGGATGTTTGCACTGCAGAATGTGTGTCAAGATGTTTAGAAATTTAGAGAGGAATCCTGTATATGTATGTGTGTGTCAGGTGGCTGATGGGGGCGTGTCAGTGGAGAAGTCAACCCCAAGATCAGCTTTGAACTTGGACAAGAAAATATTTTGTATTGCATACCACACAAAAGAGTATGGACTAAAGAATAAAACGTAGTTTTTAGCTGTGGTGTTTGGACCTATACTCTGATTAGTTCTAAGGCATATTTTATGAGCAGCAGTAAAACAGAGTCAGGGAATAATTTACTTTGGAACTATATTGGGGCACATGGGGGTTTCATTTTCACTCCCGTGTTTTGTGAAATTCCTTCCTGAGTCAGAGCATGGAGGCTGAGTTACAGCTGGCATGCCTGAACTGGCAAATAACCCTGGGCAGAACCCTGGAATGTGAATGAAGCTTTCAGATGAGTAACATCTATCATCTACCATACTTGCTTGTCGAAAAAGGAAAAGAGGCTGCAGATTGCTCCTACACACAACCGAAAGCCACTGAAGGTTTCTAAGAGTGGGGTGACACTGATGGGGTGAAAGTTAGATCTACAGAAAGGGTGTAGGTCTTAGACTTACAGATGTCTAGATAGATCAACAGATGGTAATTTTCCAAAAAAAAGGTCTTAAGTAGTTTACAGTTGTTTGATTCTTAGGTTGTACTTCACCCATGCTAATCTTAGCTATAGCTTGTTTGTTTATTAATCATCTTTCCACACTCACCAACTCCTGAAACTCCTGGGTAGACTCCAGGTGAAACTCAAAGCTCATGACAAGATATATACTTAACTGCATTTTTAGCTTCTTAGAGGCCAGCACCACAATTACACAGAATTTCTAGAGGGCAGAGATCAAATCTTATTCACTATTTCCTTACCAAGTCACCCAGGGGCTGGCCAAGCTGCAAACTCCAGCCTCTACTGGTGTACAGTGTCAACTAGCATTTACACACCCTACAGACTCATAATTCACTTGCATTACTTTTCACCCCTAGCACAGTGCTGATGACACTGTGTGGATACTTAATAAAAATGCAAATTAGCTAATTACTCTCATTAAAAAAACAGACACCTGTCATGGCCCCTGGAACTTTTCTATTCACTGATTCAACAACAGGTCTTGGGAATTAAGTGCTGATGAAAGTGCAGAGATAATAATTCTGAAAGAAAGCATGCAATGTCTAAAAACTGTATTGCTCTGGGGTCAAATATGAATTTCATAAAATACTGGAAATATTGTATAAATAATTGTAATGTCTCTTTGAATGCTCTTGCTTATGATAAGCTTCATTAAGTACTTGAAAAGCTTACAAAGCACTGAAACTGATTTTTTTAAGCTTATTTTCACCAATTTTAAAAACAACTATTTGTCACGTGAGAATTTTATTGGTTAGAACTTTTGCAAGAAGGGAAAGCAGCGTGAATATTTAGAATACATTTATTGAAACACATACTTTTGGCAAATTTTCAATACAGTAAAGGTGATGTATAAAAATGTATTAAGTTGAACATAAAAAACCTGGATTTTGTGTACCAAGTTGGAAAATTGTTATTTTTAACTTTATTTAACAATCTCTTTATATTTATTAAGATTACTTTGTGAAGTCTTCAGAACTTTCAAGATCTGTTACTGGGGGCTGTTGAAGCTGGAAATTGAACACATGTGCAGGGCTGTGGCATGGCTGGGGCATGGCCCACCAGCGAACAAAGAGATGCCTCAAAGGACAAGATAAGGCCACAGATGAGAACACCCGGCTCCAACCTCAGTTAACTAAATAAAGACTGTAGCTGCAGGCATTTCACTACAGAAATGGAATGCTATCTGGAGACTTTCTCCTAAGGTACTTCTCCTAAATTAATATAAGGTAGTTCTCCTAAATTCACAATCTGTTCCTTGGAAAAATCCTTAAACCACTCCCAAGGTCCTGCTTAGTTTCCTGCGTTTTCCACTCTAAGGCCTTCCTTGTTTGAAAAACTAAATATGGGCTGCCCAGAGATATTCCTTGTCTTCGACCCCAGAGTCTTGAACTCTCCTAGAGGTTTTGACCCTCCTGGAACCCTAAAATCATACCACTTGTCTCATTTATTTCAGCCTTCACATTTGTTTGGGAGACTGGGGATCTTGGCCAGGTCCCCATACTCTGTCTTTGTTTTGACCAGAAATTCTAGAATAATAAAAGAAGACTGGACTCATATTTTCTCTTGTGAATCTTGGCTCAGATAACTGACGTTTTTGCTTCTTGTCTCCATCTTTTTCTACATTAGGTAGTTGAGTTACTCCTTTTAAGAATAAATCATCAGCAATGAAGATAGCCATTTAGGACAGTAGTGTATGGAGACGAAATTAATACTGAGTTTTCTTCCCATCTTTGCTTATTACTACACGAGAATCACAGAATACAGCGTTATACTGAAATCATCCCTTGTCATTGTCTCATTTGAAAGGAATGAAACATATCGAGTCAGTCTTCAGACTCCAATACCAAGGCATTTATTTTCTAATCCCCTATTAAGGAAAATTTCAAATCTTCACCAAAGAATTTGTATGATAATATATAACTGGGTTCTATATTTAACAACATTTTCAGTAGTGAAGAAGTTAAAATGTCTAGTTCAAATTCCTCTTAACCTTAAAGAAGTGATTCAAAATATGACTAGTTAATGTATATTTATACTTTTCGCCTGAAATTTAAATAAAAATTTTCACACTTGACCTTGGGCAGCCATCCTTGACTCTAAATTCAGACGGTGAATGAAAGGATCCTTTCAAGCTTGACTGTCTACTTTTAAAAATGAGAATTTGAGAACATACTCGAGGGAAAGATACTTGAAAAACATTTATATGCTATTTCTAATGTATATGTATATACATATCAACTGTTAAGCTATTGAATCTGGTAATTTTGATAACAATTCATTATTTCTGGAAGATCATAAAAATGTGGAAAAAGACCTCTTAAGATTTTTAAATAGTCTTTTTCTGAGTGACATTTAACACCTTTTATAACAAGTATTTTTTAATGTTATAAAGAACCCTTG